ATGAGGCCAGTTAGAGTAAATCATTAGTTTTAATTCGACCTCTCTCTATAGTTGAAACCGACGAGTAAGCCCACAGAAGAATACAAGTGTCATGTAGACCACCACGGTCGGTGTTTTTGAGGTGCTGTAATGAAGTTCCAAGAGAAACAGTAATGAAGGCACAAAGACAGGGAGAAAGTAAGAAGTCCCGGTTCACCATGGTTGTCAGGGAAACTGTGGGTCATCTTTGAACCCAAGACAAGAACTTTTTTATGAACTCTGCATGTGCCGTTTCTATCAGACTGAAAAGTTACACTCCAATATTGCTTTCACTTTTTTAACTTTTCAAGATAAGATAAAAATAACTTTATTGATCTCCAAAGGGAAACAATAAATAAAAACTCCTCATGATTGATTTTTTTGATATCTTAACAACCCATCACTCACAGACACAGACTGTTTATAGAATAGATGCCGTCCGTCTGCCTCCTCGCTGGGTGAAGCCACCGTGAGAACAGCACCCTCTGGTGACGGGCTGCAGTATAGATCATAAATTCCACCTCATCCAGCAATCCCAATGGAGCTGTGGACAAACTTTAGAAATAAATTACACAGAATATATTTTTTTCTCCCCCTGCTTGTGATGTTGACATGTAGTTGTTGTCTTTTTTCTGTGCAGCTCCATTTCTTAAAGTTATTAGGGGGTTCATGTTTTCTATGGTTTACACTTGATACAGCCTATGGGCGTACAAAAACTGTGTAGCTCACCCGGGGAATACGCTGTCTGAGCCGAGCGTCATCACTGTGACTCTCCTGGTGAATGTTTACAACTCTACTGAGCAAGTGTAGAAAATCCCAGAAATACCAAAAACATTTTGGCTTAAAAATCGTATAATGATGGAAGGCGGAGCCAAGTATTCCATAGTACATACAGTCTATGACCACAGAGTGTAAAGCAGGTGGGGCATCAGATTCTTAAAAAGGTCTCATTAATGTTAACTTGTTGGCCATTTCACCCTGGATGAGTCTGATTTATAGTGTTAGGCCTCGATGTTCTGGTTTGACTCCTATCGTGCCTTATTTCCCAAAAGGTCAAAAAATGTCCCCTACCAGCCACCAGAAATGTTAATGAAGAAGGATGAGACAAAAGGCAGCCTCGAGCTGTTAACATGTCAGTTTTTTATTGCTGCATTCCTTGCAAACTTTTCTGAATACGGTGTCTGCGTAATGTCTGAATAATAAATCCTGCTGGCGCAAAGATAGTTGGTACCAGATCCTGTGAAATCGCTCAGTTGTGTTGACTAATCACTCTAAAATACATTTCCAAACTCTTTTTCTCCTCGTGTCTGGTGATTCTCTAAAGTGTTAAAATATCTGAGTGGCTTCGAGTGCATGCTTCAATTGTTTCACTCCTCTTAGTGGATCCACACAGCAGGGACACGTCATCCTCGGAGCTTTTAAAACCACTTACCAACTTGCACTCTCTTTTACTCACCCAGAGTTTAACTTATCCATTAATTCAGTCCGTCACATTCATGTCACATTCATGTGACGTTGCTGCAGCTCTCATATTGAGTGTGTGTCTTGATCACACTCATCACCGCATCTTGTCTTCAATCTTTGCCTCTCTCTCTTCTCGTCCCGACATCAGTCTATTTCAGCTCCAAAGTCCTCCCTCGCTTTCTTTCCCCATTTCTGGTTGTCATTATGAATATTCTCCCTCAGAGGAAAGACATTTAATAGATGAGGCAAGATAGAAAGTAGATAAAGTGAGGCAGAGGGAGGAAAGTAAAAAAGACGGAGCGCACATAGGGACTTAGTCAGAAAGGGAATAGTCATTTGAAGTGTGGTTTTTGTGATGTAAGTGTTGTAGTGTTTGTTTAGGGCAGCATTTTGCCTTAAGGTCTCAGCTGGATGTTCTTTTGAGCGTGCAGGGATGCCAATCGGCCAATCGGACTGTGACAAAACACAGAGGGGGAACACAGGCTTTAGTTTGAGTCAGTGGACAGCATCCTGAGGAGGTGGTTGTGTCTCTCTTTTACTCCCCAGCTTTTCTGTCTTCTTCCTCCTGGCGTGTGTTGCAGTCCCCCTGGCCCGCTCCTGCACAAACACACACACACACACACACAGCTCTGCTTCTCTGGACCAAAGCGACCATTGTTCCCCTAAAACATAAACTCCTTCACATTTATCCTCTCAGGCTCCAAACCGTGGAACAGGGCAGAGCTTTCTAAACAATGGCTTCTGAATAACCATGCCATTAAAAATGCAGACAGCTCCACAGTAATTGGAAAGGACCTCTAATGAGAGGAGCTGAATGCCTGACCATGAGCTGCCAAGCCTGACGCTTGGGATTTTGCATTGTATTCCTCTCACAAGGGTCTGGGAGGGATAAATTTAGCTCTGTATGTGCTCTGCATTTCTGTCTGTAGTCATATTGCAGAGGAATTTCCCTCACTCTGCTACGATGGAGCGAAGCTCAGAAAAGAGTTTAATTAACTTTTGTATCCCTAAAGGGGAGTTGCAAACTGTGCTTTTGTTTTATTTTTATGTGCATATGTTTCTTTTGTATATCCCAATGCATCAGAACATTGAAGTCAAACATTTATACATTACCTATGGAGCGTAGAAGCATAAAGCATAGAGCATAAAAGAACTTTACCTTCATTCTACAAAAGCTACACAATGCCTTTGATTAGTGCTTTTCTGTTATAGCTCTTGCTGCATTAAAGAGAACTGATGGGAAGAAAAAAGAAAACTAAAGGAAATGAGGATCAATGACAGAAAGAAGTTGTTTCCTCTGTCTCTCAGTCTAGTTACTCTCATGCTTGTTCCTTCGTTGGACTTGGAGAAAAACTGGCCCTGGAAATTTTGGCTTGCACCGCCCTTTGAATTCAGTCGAATCAACTGAACACAATCCCTGTGACCCCCTTTAATCCCATTTACTTTCAAGCCATGGCATAGCTGGGATAGAAGTATCTTCATGCGTACAGGTACATATTTACCCGTGTTGGGAGTAACAGACTACAAAGTAATGGATTACAGTAACAATATGACTTATTTTGGGTAACGAAGTAAATTAATAAACAGTAAAGTTACCAGTTTAGTTATCTCATTACAATTTACAAAAGTAACTATTTACTAGTAACAAATTACTTTTTATGAGTAACTACCCCAACACTGATATTTACTCTCTGTTCTCTGACTTTCAAACACTCAGAGGTATTATGTCAAGGATTTACATTAGTAGACGTCTCTGCTAGAATTTATTATTCGCTGAATGTGTCACTTAAGTGTTCTCAACCACATTTCAGAGAAGTACCATACTGTTTTTCAAAACTCACAAACACTCATTAAAACCTTCGACATCTTTAAGCAAAACAATGAAACAGTAAATCATTTAATTGTCGAGTGTCCGTCCCTTAATTACGCCGTGTTGATGAAACGCCAACTACATGCTGGAGCTTTTGTTTTGTTTCAGTTTTGGCGCCCCCTGTGGACAAGGGAGTCTTTACCCATAATCATCATGTCATTTACATGTTTAAAAAGTATCCTCTGGTAAAAATCTAAATCTCCTCCAGCTGACTCTATAAAGTAAAATGAGTATTTTATTGTGGAAAATTAAAACAGAAGTATTTCTTCATCTACTTGGCTGACATTTACCCCCTAGCATCAGTTCAAAGCATTAAAAAATAAAATCATTAAAAGTTGTAGCTTTTCCTTTTGTAAATCATAAAAAAGCATCAATTTGAATTTCAGTCCATTCCAAAAATGTCAAAGGGCTTTCAGGTCCTGTGTCCATTAGCGCTGTTTTTTTCACCCCAGTTTCAGAGCACTTCATCAGGCACTTAATTTCACTGAGTTATTGTGTCTCGTGGCACACCTGCTGCTCTCTGCATCAGTGGTGAACAGTTGTCTATACTTTCACACAACAAACTTGTGTATTTGTTCCACCACTGCTAAGCATTGACTGTAAAGTTTGTTTTGAAATGCTCTGCGCCTATCAAATCCACTTCTGCTCAATGTTAATTTGCTAAAAAAAAAAAAAAGTAAAAATAATTGATAGAAATTCTGTTGTACTGTTGGCAGCTTGCATGGTGTTGTTGGGCCGCCTCAGTAAATAGGTCTGGGATTGTTCGATTCAGTCCAGAGAGTGTTGGCAAGAACTGCATATGAAAGTTATTGTACAGACTTCCAAACAATCAGATTAATGCAGCCTGTGATCTGGGCCGCCTTAACCCAACAGTAGGCTCTCAATTTACAGAGTCTCATTATAAAACAAGAGTGTGTATGCAGGTAAGCTAGGTCACAAAATACATACTTTTTTTTCAGGGCATTCAACAGTGATTTTTTCCCCCTTTGAGACAGAAAACACGATCAATTTGTTACTAACATATCACTGAGCCTACTTGAGCACAAACACAAAAGGCATTTTTATGACAAACACACACAGCAATTTATGGTGATTATTAAATTCAATTTGTGTTTATTAAGTGCCAAATCAATTCAATTTAATTTTCTGCTTTGCACTTTGCACAAAGAGACCATTCTCATTCAATTTAAAGAGACCACAACAACAAAACCAAGATGTGTTCAAGGGAAGTTTTTCCTCGCCATCGTAACTTGCTAATTACTGTAAAGAACAACATTGGATGTTGGAAGAGATGGGTTAAACCATTTCTCATCTAGAGGCTGAGTTTTTGTAAAACATCAACCGATGAGTTTGGTCTAGACCTGCCCTTTGTGGGGAAATGATTTGTTGTGATTTAGCTGTATAAATCAAAATTGATTGGTGATTGATTGATTAACAGTCTGATTTCACACTATGTCAAAAACATCAATATAGTATAAACCTGCCTGGTTTGCTGCCTGGTGACGGTGTGATCCCCTCTCGTCCTCCTCCACTCCCCCTGTCTGCACTGCAGCGCTGAGGTTAGTCCCCTGCTCCTCTCCTGTTACCTCCACCTGCGCAGCCGCGGGCCGTGGCGAGCTTCCTCCACCTTCCACAGCAGCAGGTTAAAAAAAATCCTTTGAGCTTTAGTAAACTCTTCATAAAACTCCCTTTCCCTTAAATCTCTTTTATGAACCGTTATCCTTTTGTAAAAAGCTTTCAAACTTCTTTCTCCCCGACATGTTGCAACCACTAATCAATCATGGAGGGACACACCTCAACACTTGCGACCATCATCAGAAGGATAAATGGAGTCTCTTTTTGTGAACTGGTCAACGGTAAATTTATTTTTTATTTATTTTTATTTATTTTTGCTGACAAAATTACACATGCCCTAAAATCCACCATGGATTACCGAGTACAACCCTAAGGAGGCCAGAAACGATTTCCTGTTAATTGGTGGCATTTTTACTCTGACTTCCTGTCAACAACCCCCCAACTCTCCACCCCCAATATTTGCAGCTAAATAATATAATAAATCATCCATATTTCTTAAATCTCCTTTCTTCTCACAACAAAATGTCCTTCCACCCATGATAACATAATTCAACGCCAACAGCACACACACCCTGCAGTGGTTTCCTGCTCACTCTCATATTACTCACCAGCCTTCCCACTTTCAACAAAGAGTGGGGTCACAACCTGTCTGAGCTTCACTCTGCCTGGGGGCCATGATGGCCCTGCTGGGTTTCCCTTGGCTGGACTAGCCTGTATTCAGTCTGGCTTTGGCAGCAAAATTGACAGCGCAGATCTTCTGACCAAAACAAGATAAAGCGAAGCAATAAAAACATGACGCTGACCCCGCTGCGCTCTTGTGGATCTAGAGTCTAAGAAGTGTGCTTTTTAATGTTATGATGGATTTATTGACCCTTTAACCACTGTGCATCCTAATAACAGAATAAATCTTTCTTGATAAGTCATCATGACAAATCTTTGGGTCTGTTAACCAGAGAGAGACAAGCCAAAATGCTCTCCCACTATGAAGTTAGTGAGTGGTTTGGTAGTTGACGTGTGCAACATCTGAAGGAGATGAACAGCTTTTCAGTGGCTCCTTTGCTCAGTTGATAATATTGGTCATCAACGCAGCGAGTTAACCTTGTATTTCCACAAACAAAGTTGAGATTATAAGAGTGTAAAGAAGTCAAACATGTAATCTATGCTTAGAGTAAAACAGCTGCAGCATGAACAGCTGGCAAAAACTCACTGACTGTATAATTATAGTTAACAAGACTTGATATTAAAGCTTTGGCTAAAGGCTGTATTTTATATTATTAGGGAGAACTCAATTGTAACTGAAATATTTTTGTGTTTCTTTCTTCTTTGTCAAAAATGAATCACACAATTAGCAGCATAAACATGCCCCAAACCCGTCAAACTGTGTACACACATCAGACTTTGCATATAGGAAATATTTTATGGGTCCTGTGCATAATTTTGCAAAAAAGTTTAATATCTCCCCTTTTGAAATGTCAAAAACAGACCCCATAGAAGTGACTTTTTATGAAATTGAGTGTGCATCACCTATATTGCAAAGGTTCAAAAAACCAAACCAACTTTGCTCCCTCACTCAAAACCTTAAAACCACCATTCTGATTTAAATCTCAAAATAATACAGTTTTTTAGGGATTTATAGCAGTAATATTTGATCTAATTTACCCGGGGGTTTCATTTCATACTGCAGGCTGCTGTAGATCCTTACACTTACACTTTGCTGATGCAACACACCGCACAATGTACATGTAGGTGCAAGGGCCCATTCACTATTGTTTGTGTCTTTGCTTGTTGCTGTTACTGTTGTATAAAAATCCTGGGTGAGCTGTGTTAGTTTGCACGCTTTGCAAGTGTACTGTGCAGAAGAACTCTTGAGATAAGTGTTTTTTCACGAACACCAGCAGCACATAACTCCACGCCTCCCATCATTCATCAAAATCAAGTACACTTTATCTCACTGATGTCCTGCTGTGAGAGAAGAGAGAGAGCCAAATGTGTCTTGGTTCTCTTCCAACTGATGACAAATATCAAAGCATCACCAGTGATCAGACACACTACTAAATCATGAGGATTTTTTAGGACTTGGCCCAATAAAACATTAAGGAGGGGTTTACTACACAGATACACACACACACACACACACACACACACACACTGCTGCTGCTCGGTGCGGAATTAGAAACAAACCGACCGTTACTACCAATACTGCATAACGATCAGGTACAGATTCACTGCCCTCAGCAGCCATAAAATACCTCCATTTTCATTAACCCTGATGTGAACCTGCAGAACAAGAAAGAGGGGACTTAATAGTGACAGCTGGGTGGACAGCTAAATTTACAGTTGTGCCTTTTAAATGCTTTACAGCTCTTAGTATCTCTCAAACATCCAGCCATCCAATAGAGGGACCCATAATTCATATCTGCTGCAACACTGATCATTTCCCCCTTTGTAAGGTGGCCAAAAAGTCCACAAAGATATGTAGAGATGCAGGCATTAGAGCAAAACATCGACATCTAATATGTACCTTGAGTTCATCCTCACCTCGCCTGATGACACTCAGTTTAACAGTTCCATTAAACACAAGTGGGCCTGCAAAATCCGCTGATTTATTCATAACTTAGTGTTGCTGGAGCTCAGATAAAAACCAGCTTGAAGCCATTTTTCCCCAACGACACCGTGATCATTCTTAGTCAACATCTCCGAGCTAGAATAGGGTATTTCACCAGAGCAGCACTGAGCAAGTTATCATCCCCACTCAGTGCTAATCATATAAAATCTGCCTGCGTGAATGTAAGAAAGGATTAATATAAGTATGAAGGAGGATCATACACATTCCCATTTCTCCATTTATCTGGATTATCCTCATCGTCTCTAGCTGCACGGACTCTGACACACATTTTCCCACAGACACATCTGTGACTGAAGTCAGAAACCCCACAGAGACCCACAATTGTCTCCTCTCTAACCCTTGAATTATCCTCTTTGTCCGATCTATCCTCCCTTCCTCTGTTGAGCTTCTTCTTCTTCTTCTCCTTCAAGCATGTATCCATCTTTCCATCTCAATCCATCCCAGAAACGTTCCCATTAATTTAATGGACCAGGGTCCTTGTGCAGCTGAGCAGAACGAGGCCCGCTTAGATGCCCAAATGCGTAACAACAGTAACACGCTGAACAACACAACATCCACGCATGCACACACTTAAATAACACTCTTCACATTCTACTTATTGCACCCCACTTAGAGCTCCCATACGTAAACAGGCAGCCATGCGCTCATGTCCTGAAAGCATGGCTATCCATTTGCGGTGATGATCCTGCACCAAAAAGAAAACAAATTAGATTTACGTGTCCTGTGGATGAACTGGCTAACCCTGTCATAGCACTCTCTTAATTAGCAACAAGATCCAAGCAAGTGGCGGGGTGGGGCATGATGGGATTGACTGGTTGAGGGAGGGATGGGTAGAGGCTTTACCCTCTATTACTCATCTGCCAGCACTTGTATCAAGGGATGATACAAAAGGGTAGTGGAGCACTGAAGCTCTCATCTTTCCCCTCTATCTAGGATTCACAGAGATAGCTCTCTCAGAGAATATTCCCAGCATGGATCTATCTCTCTGCGTCTGTGCTGCTGCAGAGAAAGAACAGCCTCTTTTAAATTTCTTCTAGGGAATATACTTTATATCCACGTCTCATTTCCTCTCTACAATTTGCATCAAAGCTCACAATTTTCCAGACGTTTTGAGAAGCTCGTTTTCTTGAAGCCCGGTCTCATATGTAGCACAGAACCGGCTACATCACACACCAGTCTCTCTCTTTTTTTTTTTTTAATCATTAATTTCCTACCACTATCCTATCCTTCGGAGCTCATGCAAACTGCCTTGATCCTCTCAGAGAGCATGTAAGGGTGAGATGGCATCAATCATTGTATCATCAGTCTCAGTATGATCTCTGTCTAATGAGCCTGGAAACAGCTGCTCACACATGCTTTTCTGAATAATAGATGCGATGGGCCACTGCTTCCACAACTCATCATCCTGTAGCTTTCGTCTGCGCTCAGACTGAATTGGCTCGAGAGGAGTGAGAAAATGAATCATGGCTGTTCGATAGATACCGCGCTGTGAATCAGTGTTATTCTAGCTTGGTCTTTGGGGGTCTCGGATGTGGAAGTATGTATGTACATTTCCTAAGGAGCTCAATGACTTGGAATGAACTTATATAATGCCTGAAATGAACCTATCTACCACATACTGTTTAAAACAGGGATGTAGTCTCTACGGCATCACCCCCGGTTTCTGAACAGAGGTTTTAAAGCAAAACCTAAGCGGAAAATGGAAATCCATCACAGGGGATGTTGCACTTCTGATATTTAAGAGCAAAACTTGTTCTGAATTTTGCAGCTTTGTGCCCTTTGCTCTTGTGTTGAGTTTGATTATGGAAATGAGTTGTTAGCATCTTTAAAGCTGTGCTGTGCAATCTCATCCTGACAGAGCTCAATCTATCCACATAAAACCGATAAACTAAATGGGAATGAACATTTTATTTACCACTAAGCTGGGAAGTTTAATGATGAATGATGAGCTACAAATGTCATTGCCAACAAGGCTTTGCCACTGGGGAGTGAGCCAGTAAGAGCAGCTTATCCAGATGACAAACACTCATTTCTGTTCTGGAAAATGGCTCAGACCGCCTCCAAACATGTCAAAAGTTTGCCCCCGGGGTGTTGGGTTTCAGCTAACAACTGCCTCAAAGTCAACAAACCCTAGTTTAAACAGTAATGCAGTGTAAGAGTAGTATTAATATGAAAATATGTGATTTATAGGTCATCCATAGACAAAATTAATTCCATTATCAATAAAAAGTTAGGCATGAAACTCGAGGTTTATAATATTGTAAAGCTGTGTTAATTCCATGTTGGAATCAGGTCGCTTTCACACCTGACCAAGCAGATTCGGCTCAGATTCATTGTTGCATTTATCACTTGTTTCGGTTCTGCTTTCACACTGTGATTTCTGAAGCGCACTGAACCTTACGAGCAGCATCACGTGGTTGAAAGGGGCACTCATCGATTGGACAAAGTAGGAGGGGAAATCCCTCTATCCCGCTCCTTAAAAACAACAGTAAAGATGGAGCATCATGTGAAGTTGGCTGTTCCGGGGATGTCAGTGGATGTCATCTGACCATATTTCAAGGAGAGCTTTAACCTCTTCGTCTGTCCACGTCTGTCCTCTCGCCATGTTTGTTTTGATTTGGAGTGCGCGCAGTGCTTCCTCTACCCAAGATGCACTGCATATCCACTGCGTATAGCATCAGTTAGCCTTGTTTTTTAGACTAACAGTGCCTGTCAATTTTAGAAACATTTTGGTCTTTATAGGCCTCTGTACTTGTGTCTGTACCTTAGTGAACACAAAGTTATTACATTTGAGTTAAAACACGTTCTCTTTTTCTACTTATTCATATGTAGACGATTAGAAACTGATATCAACGTTATTATAAGTGTTCAAATCTACCAAGTTTTACTCTTTTGTCACTCTCCATCTCCATAATTCCTCATTTTCTTTCCTTCCATTAGTTAATGCTATCAGACGCCTCTTACACCTGTGAGATTTATAAAAATCAAACCAGTTAAAGGAGTTAAAACACTTGTGACTTAATTCCTTAAAGCATTTGGTTCCTGAAGAACAGCAGGTTTTTTTTATCTTCTGGTATGTTGAGATTTTGGTGATGGGGTTTCTGCCCAACAGCAGCGTGATGTAAACGTTTAATATGTGAATATTTTAGCTGAGACTCTCACATGATGCAATTCTGTTATGCAGTCTACTGATCTACTGAGATAAGACAAGTGCATTACTTGTGCATGGGTATTTTTATTTGTTTTTTTTTTCTGACTTAAATTAAAGTGATAGGAACACAAGTTCATAAAGAGAAGGGGCTGTGTTGCACATTCACTTCGACATACATGCTTAACAGACTGCAGTATGCACCACATCTTCATTTATCACAATGGAGAGTTGATCAAATATACAAAACATCTCACTAAATATGTTGTCTTATGCAGAGTCAAACTAGGGTAAATCTAGGCCACCACAGTCTTGTTAATGTAAACTAAACATACATTTAACTGAGTTTTTATTACCGCTGACATTTTCTTAATATTCATTTTTAGAAATGACTTCCGCTGCAACCAACTCTCAGTGGACAAAGACACGTTTATTTGCACTGGGGTTGTCTTTTAGGGCCAGTGGTTGTAAGTTAGACTTTTTTTTTTTTGCAGTGAGACCAATTTGCATAGAAAAGGGCCAATTCCCCCATGAATGCAAAATGAATAAATGCAAAATATGTCCAAGCAGCACTAGAGCACATACACCTGTTTTTCAGCCGCCTCTGGGGTGTATTAAAACCTTTGCGCAGGCGTTATGAATTACGCAGTGTCTTTTTGTCTCAATTGCACTGATTTAGATAACACAAAAGCCTCAATCCTTTTTGTGTGTCAGGCCCTGAACTACAAAAATATATATTCATAGAGAGAGAGAGAGAGAGATGGAGAGAGAGAGAGCAGCATGCATTAGAAAACATAAGCTGCCCTAAAAGTTACCGCTGTTTCTATTTTTTGTAAGCAGACTTATAGTCGACAAAGCCTAAAATAACGTCAAAACCTTTCCATTCCTCTGTCATCCATCTGCCCAGAATGTTCAGCACCAGTTTGTGATTTTGCCATGCTGCAGGCCTCAGTGCAGAGGAGGGCTTTTGGTTTTATCTCCCCTCAGCATGAGTAGGAGGTGGGTTGATGTCTGCTTTATGCTCATATGAGGATTCGATGATCCAGTGGAGGGAATAAAAAGATCTGGAGGTTAGAAAGCAAAACTGAATGCAGCATTGACAAGTGGACTCTGGATTACATTCCTATAAGTCAGACATCATTAGAGTGAAATCTACAAAGGGTGAACGTTCACTTAAAGGATGATGCCGCATACAGTTGCATGCGTGCATGGACATAATGCATACTGACAAAAAGAGAAACCCAGACCGCCTTAGTTGTTATCAGTAAGTACATGAACATGTATCATACACACTTCATATATGCCTTTTTGAAAGGTTTATACTAAATCCAGACGCATTTATGATCCTTAAGTGATCATCTTTAGATCTTTGCCCGTCTCTTGGAATAAAGTGGTCTTATATTTCTGTATGTTGTTTTGCCCAGAGGCTCTGAGGATTTCAACAGCCTTTATCTGCCTCTCTGGCCTCGGTTCTGCTGGCATTACTCTGACTCATGCAGCTTCCTGGTTCTCTGATCACTGAGCTCTCATCATGATTCTTTATCTTTGGCTTCAAACAACTTCAAAGATGGATATTTCACCTACTTACAAACAGCGATGTAAAGATGCCAAAGGTAGGTGACTTGATTAAGAGGATATGTAACATGGAGTCATGTTGAATTCTGTAAGTGGGAGTTTATTGAAGCTTATATTATAACACAAAGTAATACAACAGAAGCAAGAAAAACAGATCAAATCTGTTCTGTGAAACATATAGAGCAGTTTTAATTAAGATCATGTGCAGTTTCCCTGATTGACAGAACGGCTGTTATTAAATCTGTGCAAAAACTGAATGCCAAAAACGTTTATGCTAAAATCCTGTAGAGAAAAGAAATTTAAAAAAAAAGGATATATACTCTTTCAACTGCAAGACTTTGGATGATATCTGAGACATACACGAGGCTTTCTTGATGTGCTCTATTTCAGGGCAAATACTGATCATAACTCCTCTCATATTCAGTTTTGTCCAGGGATATCAAATGTCACATATACACAATATACACATATCTAAAAATATGTGTATATTGCCCATTGTAATTTCTTTTAAAATATGTCTGCAGCACATTCCCATTGTTTTCCATTGAAGCTCTTAACACTGAATTGACACCAGAAATGCACTTTGTGTGGCATTTAAACTATGGTTTCAGTCTGTTTCAGTTCAGTTTGGGAAAATCAGATTTGCAGTTAGTGGTCCTAAAGCAACTAAAATCACATAATATGCAGTAACATATGGCACTGTAGTGGCAAACCACCAACAGCTGGATAAAAGCAATCTTGATCATCATCATTTAGGAGTTTAAGAGGGGGGGTCATGATCTCAGAGGAGATACTTTAAAACCATTAGGCAAAAAAATCTCCAGGTTCTGAAGTATTTGGCTCACCGCAAGCAGGAAACACTGAAAGCCTGTGCATTAACAGGTGTTCATTGCGGCACTTGAGTCACTCTTTGTACATTATGTGTACGTGTTATAGCAGACCATCATTTGGTCATTCTCAGATGAGTCAACCATCCATAGACCCTGAACCTGCATGCATCTGGCAATCTCACTTGTGCTTTCTTTGCCAGCAGCTCTCAAAACATCCACATAAAGCAGATCGTCCCTTACAGTCAATGCCCATGTGTTGTTTCCTACAGCACCAGTTTACCAGCTGGAAAGTCCCAGTGTCTGGCGGTGACCAGCCAGTCTGGTCCTTTCAGAGCTAATTTGTTTGCTGTGTACTGTACACGCCACACTGACACTGACAGAAACCAGGCCACAAATATATAAATAGCTGAACTATGTCAGTAGCGTGTGTGTTAAGTTAGTGGTAAGCCTGCGAAAAAACTGAAGCATGATGAGTGAATTTATGAACATACATTTGTAGCAGACGCCCTTCCTCTGTATGACAGCGGGACCACGGTTCAATCCTTCAGTTGGTGTCACATCTGCTTGAAAATGTGCAGACATGCAAGCATGAGTTCACCTCGCAGGGATTCATCTCAATCACCCAGGTGATACCCAGAGCAGTTAGCGTAACCAAGCCCCGCTGAGTTAAACTTCACCGGCGAAGTCTGCAAACACCATCAAGCAACCTGTCAAAAGCTAACTTTAGACCATATAGAAGAGGGAAGAGGTCCACAGTGAGTTGACAGAAGAAAAGCTGAAGAGGAGATTAGGTTGACATTTTGAGCCAGCGGGTTTGTTGATCCAACTCCTGTTTCTAGGCAACTGTGTATGTTTTTTATCAAGTGAGCAAACACCTCATTTCTATCCAGCTGCGATTGAAAGAGGCACATAGGAGAAGTTCTTTGTATAAATTACACGCAAATGACTAGTATGCTTAATAATAACACTTAGATCAATTTAACCAGTTGCTCAACTTATGCTATAATAAGGCAATGAGCAAATCTTGTGGTTTATGAAAACATGGGCCTGCATATAATTGTAGCACCGAGAAACTGGTTCATGTAGAAGAAAACAGCTTTGATGAAGTAAGCTACTTTAACCAGGCTGCTGAAGCCGAGCCTGCTAGATTTCTCTGAGGGAAAACTTGAGTGTGGTGATACTTAATTTAATGTGGAATAGGGTTCAGAAAGACAGTTGCTTGGGTGGCATGTGTAATTGATCTACCGAGACAAAGACCTCAGGTTAATACACATGGTTAAAAGTCCTGGTGCTGCTGTGCATCGTACCAGTATTCAACACAGAACAAACTGTTTGTTGTAAATTTCCTTTTTTTTTTCTGTCCATGTGTGAAGACACTTTAAGTAAGTTTTTCTACAGGCACCTGTTCAGGCAGCCTGGGGTCCTTGGGATTTAACCCATTTTTTGTTTAGGGATAGATACGGGCAGTTTGGGGTCCTAAAAGCCTTAGCGATTGCAGAGATTGTGCGTTCATTAAGAAGTAAGTAATGTTAGCTCTGTATATGTTAAATGAGTTTGTTCAACTGAGTATGGCTCGTGAATTATATCAAGTTTGTTTATATTTTAGTGTGTTCCTGAAGCTAAAACACTGTTTATGTCAGTTAGACATAGTTTTTAATTTATGGTTTTGTGTCTATTTTATTTACAGAGATCAATGTAAAAATGAGTACTGTGACAAAGCTGTTATATTACTAAAGAGAAGAATACAAAGGTCTAACTAAAACTGTGTGTCCTGGCTTCACTCTCTAACTGGAGTACTTAAATGGATGGAGTGTCCCAACATTATCTCACATTAACATAGAAGTCATTATCCAATACTGTTGTTAATGTCAAATTAACAACTGATTACATTTATTATGTATAATGGTTTTGCACTCTAGTATTGGACCTACAGAGGTTAATCCGCCTCATCCCTGTGCTACTGTGAAAAATTAGGCACCTTTAAACCCATCATTTTGGGGCTGTGTGACAGACAGCTATTGACGTCCAAATAAGAGGTGTTCCCACAGACTTTGCAAGGAAATCCTCCTAATCCGTCACAACTTCCCGAGGGTAAATTATGAAACAGGATTTGCAGTTGTTGAGGAAACTTTAGAGGTTTTCAGTTCTTTGAATGTGGTCGTCAGATCAGCATGCTTACTGAAAAAATTATTGCTCATTGACCAATGAATCATCTTATCCATGGAGCTCTGTGAGTCAGCTTTGTGTGACCAATAAGTGTGATCTCCTTATTCAGGGTGGGTGAAGCCATATAATCAAAAGACACCCCGGGGTATGTTAAACTTGCTTCATAAAATCTGCCTCTGATTAATCCTAATCTGTTTATTTTCGGTTAGATTAATGAATTAAATGTGAAAAACACTTTTTAATCTTACTCACAGTATTTTGTCCACTTGGAACATCACAGATTTTTGGAAGCTTTCCATACATTACAGTGAGGGTACATTTACAAATGATTGTCCACAGTGCTACACTAAAAACTGCTGCGCAAACACACTCTCACTAAATGAAGGCACTCTGTTTAATTGACAGCAGTCAGTGATTTGTGTTTTGTGTTGAGCAGCATCCCGGCAAACATCCTCCTGGCTGGCATGAATAAATCTTGTATCTCAATCAGCAGTTCCAAGACAACAGCAAGTGGGGAGGGGGAAGAAAAAGCCATGTATTCCCAAAAGCTCAACGTTATTTTGTCACCGGTTAACCGTGAAAGGATGTCAGCCATCGTCAGAGCAACATGAGCGCCACACAAACATCCCTGGCACGTTTGGGATGTGTGCTCATTACCCCACCTAAAACTACAAACTCATCTCAAGGGGGATTAGTACTAAAGGAGTGTGTGTTTTCCTTCAACTCTAGTTAACATAAGGACACTTGCTCACTTACTTGATTTCTCGAATATCTTTGATCTTTTCGAGCCCAGCAGTTAATCTGTGCAATCAAACAGGAGGCGTTTCAGTGAGGACATCTCTTACAGACATGGAGTGCTGCCTGACTGTGTGGAAGAAATAAAAAGGAAAACAGGCCTGCCTTAAACTTTACAAAACTTGTTAGACTCCCAGGGTTAGGGGACAAAGATTTCCGGGAGAGTAACAGCCAAATTGGACCGTGATCAGGGTGTATCCTATTTACAGAACCTCTGAAGTCTGAAGTGAAGATGTTGGAGCAAAATAAGATGTAACACCCAAGTTCACTGTGTACCAGGTTTGGGTTTAAAACAGAATAGGAAAGAAGTCCCTGCTGTAGTAACACAATGTGATTATCTGCACTCTGACAAAATGCACATTTGTAAAACTTAAGATATTATCGTTAAATATATGTATTAATTATGTGTAAAATTATGTATAGAATAGGAGTTTAGGGCCAGCCAATTGTCCTATTCTCATTTAATTTAGAATGTAATGTAATTTAGAATAAGAGTAAAGTTACTGGTGAAGGTAAAAAGAGTAGTGGCTCCAAACAACTGCCTTGGGGTACACCAGATTGTTGCTCTTTCACATCCAAATGGCTGCCAATAAAAATAGTTAGGTGTTCAGCATGTTGAAAGTCATTAGTTAGACTATTGGTCTACTTTCTTAATGACCCTTGTGTGTTTGAACATCCCTCATAGTTGCTTGCTTTCTCTTTCCTTTTCTCTCCTGTTGACCTGTCAACCATTAACCACAAATTCAAATTCAACTTTATTTACAAGAAAATGCAATTCAAAATGCCTCAGAGACGAAAAACAACAATAATGACAAAAACCAACTCTTCCACCCACACACACACACAAAGACGCATACCCACCCTCACTCACTCACTCACCCACACATATACACACTCACAACTGCATGCAGTGTGAGAATTTAAGATATACTGTTAACATGGCCTGACACTGAGACGTTACATGAGGGAAGGGCTACCTTTAGGAAACACTGGAGATAAAAATAAAGATAAAAATGGTGAAAAGAGTAAAACATGATGGACTAAAATAAGAAAATAATAATAACTAATGAACAAATAAGTAAAAGGGGTAAAAAGAAGTAAAAACCTGCGACGGGAAATTAAGAAAAAGACGAAGAACAGAGATAATAAATAGAATGACATAAAATAAACATTAAGAACTTTGATTAAAATGAACATTTGCAATAAGAGAAATCTAAAATGGCAATTAGTAAAAAGCCTGGTTAAAAAAGTGAGTCTTGAGCCTCTTCTTAAAGATATCAACACCCTGAGCCAATTGAGCCAATTTTAGATGCTACCAAGAACAAAGTTTTATGCTTCCTTATAAAATGAGAGTCGTGTTAAAAATGTCTTCATTGTTGTTTATCACGACTGTCAGAAACTTACACTTGGTAAATATTGCCAACAGGAAGATAAATGGTAAACTTTATGAATGTTTCGGACTCCCTTTTGTAGATTTATATGATCTGCAGTGATGGGTGTGATCGGATTGACCTTGTTGTTGCTGTTAAGTGTATTTAAGGCAGAATCACAGGACATTACAAATACTTTCATTAGTACTGGAACCACTCTATTTACACTGCATTTACACTCATCACACACATACCGTGTACACACTTACAGTATGCATCGTATCCACAGCAGTGCTCAGAGAATTAACATTGTCTGTGCAATCCAAATTATAATCCATCTCTCTTCTAAGCAACCCTTTAGAAGCAGTTTGATAAATGTGGGATTTAATACAATAACACATCCAACCCAAAGTCAAGTGAAAGTAAGCTTTGCCCATTTATAAACTTCAGTCAGGCTATAGAGGAAGTAATGGAGGGGAAAATCATTTTAATATGCTTTATTCTGCTGTAAATAATGTGCCCTCTGAACGGGTAATGGAGGTAAACCTTTTTCTGTAATTTGTTATTACTTCATTGCTTTCAAATTTGACTCTTTTAAACCCTCTATATGCCATTATTTCTTTCCTTTTACAAATTTTCTGTTGTGTGAGTATGGATTCAGCTAACCTCAAAGTAATGAGTAAATTCAATGATACTAAATAAATTATTATGGTGAATTGCACAGTGCTGCAAGCAAATGTAAGTCACTGGAAAAACGACTATGAGATAATTTAAAAAGTGCTGTGCTGTTAAGGCAGGTGGTTTGACAATAATACAAAACGGCTCAAATTAATGTCAGGTCCACCTCAAAAGCGATTCGACCAGGCAGATCAAATGGACCCAGATTTTTCAAAGAGGACAGCAATTAGGAGTCTAAAGGAAACCCATGACAATAGCAATCCCACGGACACAGTCTATCTGTTGGAATAATATTCTCTGTCCTCGACAGCAGCCTGAGGCAGAATCTGATTGCAAAAAGTCTGCCAGCTGCCCCCCTGGTCAATAACATAGAAATCCTTCCTAAAGTGAAGGAGGCAAGGGAAATGACCCAAACACCTGACCCCCTGTGTCTCCATCCTCGGAGTGAGAGGTCCCCGCACATTGTCCCAATCTCCAGAAATACCCTCAGTTAGTCAACCATGATGCTTCCATATTTGGATCACCTCTTTCTGTAGAGCTTTACTATCCTTAAATCCATGACTGATGTCCTGCACTTTATGGTATGCAGTAAAATGTCACTATAGCTTCCAGCCCTAAAGGCATTTTCTGCTTTCTATTTTGGAAATTGTTCATTTGCGACATTAATTTTTAAAACCATAATGTGACATCCATAAACCACACCGAATCTTTAAACACTGATTTCATTTGTATTAAAAACAATATGAGCGAGCACTTTGAGAGCACTGCGCAACACAGGCACAGCACTGAGCACAGGAGGCTCCATTTATGGAGGCAGCTGTAATTATTGACAATGAACACTTGCGAGGACTGACACTGATAAAAATTGAATTATGGCAGGAAATTGAATTAACAGTGGGACTGTTAAAAAAAACAGTGAACAGAGCTACTACTAAATGAAGGCTGCTGGTTTGATTTCTACTGTTTCAAACCACTTTTGCAGAAAGACGTCAAAAGAAAGAATTGTAACAACACTGCTCACTCTACTTTATCCTGCTTACAACTACCAACTATAGTTATTGATAAGTATTGAGTCAATAATGGTTAATGAATACAGCAAAAAAAAAAAAAAAGGTTAAGTCCCTCTGACTCCACAATCACTGACATCTCAATCACATGCTGCTTCTTAGCTGGACCAAAACATTGATTTGATGATTTAAATCTGTGTATTATATTGTTATTTTATTAAATTTCCCCCCATGGTTTTTAGCCTTATGATTTTGGATGCTACCAGGAAACAACATTTTACCATAATATCAATAAGCCAATGTGAAATGTGCAAGACTCTCCTTATTTTTGGATTCAGCCGTAGTGTTAATCTTTGGACTAAGTTTGAGTCACACTTAAGTCGATTTTGTCCTGAGCAGTTTAAGTCTAGAGTCAACGAAAAGTTAAAACAAGTCATTACATTTTAGTCATTGCTGTAAACCAAAACATTTCCTATCTTCAAACTAATTTAATCAATCAATCAATTAGAAATTGGTGTAGAGTGCTTTACTCGCTTAACACTTACACTTGAGCAATGTCTGGATTCCTGTATCTGATGATTAAATTCAGATTCTCCAGTCAGTACAAAGCTACTGTGCTGTCCCTGCCTGTCTACTTAAATAGTGTTGTGAAAGATCACACTAAAAGCGAGCCAGCTCAAAATTTCAATTCAGGGGTTTAAAATGAACAAGTTCGCATTCATTTAGTTTTAGCTCCACCTGAATTATTCATCAACACAGCCTCATAGACTTCAATTCCTGATCTTTAATCACTGATGTTTTCTAAAGTAAATATTTAATGAAATTTTGCTCTAAAATCATAGATTCAGTTTAAATGAGCGACAGTCCACCTAAAACAATTTTGCCTCGTCAAGAAACAAAACTTTTATTTATCTCAGCTTTTGTTATTGTAACGTATTTTAGCTTGTCATCGTCTCATCTTCATAATAGAAAAAAAAGGATGTTATTTAGTGTCATATTTTTCATTAGCAGATTAACGCTGGATATAATGTGCTTGATCAGGCAACCTCAAACATTGCTTTTCTCTTGAGAATAAACAATAAAGCAATTTTTATGACCAATGCACTGTGAAATGGAATATATATAGTGAGCAGGTGGTTGTGTCAGACATTTTTGCCACAGTGTAAACAGGAGGAGGTGAAGTGTGCCAGAACCCTTTTTTCCTGTGGATGGATTTGATATGACGGCTGTGATCAGTTTTTTTCCTGGCACTACTTTTGCTGTTGATAATTAACCACCTTTTTATGGGGTTCTGACCAATCAAAATCAATTATTTAAAACAGCCATGTCGTAGTATGTATCATGAGCCAGCTCTGGATCAGGTGACTTTAAGTGTAAATACACACAATTAAGCTAGACAGGAAAATAAGAACGTCTCACGGAAGCTTTACCGAGTCCCACTGCCATGAGAGTCTGAGGCAGCCTGTGGCTTTACATCAAACGGTCCAACATAGTTGCTGTAGGAAGAAATGACCATGTAGAAGTATATAGAACCTAATTTCCAGTCATAGATCAAACATTGTGGCGGGCAGAAATGGGACCATTGACGTTGTATGTGGACCGAGTCCAACCACAAGCCACATGAAGAAGGTATTCTCTGTCGACTGTGGGATCAATCAGGGAAATGGTGGCCTCCTAAACCCAAAACCACCTTTTTTTGACTTGTGTTTTTTGGTACTGCTGCTCTTGAGTGCAAAAATAAATAATTCCTTTTCATTTGCTGTATTGTTGAAATATGAGCTCCAGAGCTCTTTGATACTGGCACAGTGACTTGGAAAGAGCAGTCGTTGGAAAAAAATAAATGTGTTTGAGTTCAAGCAAGAAACAAAAAACAGTACATTTTTACTGCCAAGCTTCAATGGACAGACTGATCTGAAGGTTCCGTCTACCCAAATTATTAATGAATCTATCTATTAATTAATTGATTTGGTTGGTTGGTTGGTTTACTTTTTTGGAGACTACAACTAGTGCATTGGATCTGATACTTTTTGACTGAAACTTGTTGCATTTAAACCGGCAAATGAAAGAGACTGTTTACTTGTTAGCCATAAAACCAAAATCGTAAGGCCACTTTTAGACGGAAACGGTCTCCATAGAAAACGGAAAAATTTGGTTTCGTTTAGGGGGGTCTGTTTAGACAGCGTTTTCAGGAGATGAAAATGTAACAAAGTGAAAACCCCCTCCAGAGTGGAAATGTTGTAAACGCTCTGCTAGTCTCGTTTTCGTCTAAAGTACAAAAACACTGAAAACAGTCAAACCTGTGACGTCCTGGCTCACGCTTATGACATCATAGCCATGTGCAGCTTCCTTGAAAATAACAACAACAACCATGCTAGACATTCGAGTCGCGCTGTCATTTTTATTGAACTGGCAGGAGCTCAATTTCGACCTGTACAGAATCCTCACAAATCATACTGCTCAGCTGAATTATTTGCATTAAATAATTAATGTGCCAATTGTGCAGAACGGAAGTTGTTCTACGTATTCGTTGTTGGTCTATATGGGAGCGCGGCATGCACATTACAGCGTTTGCAACCACATTGCGTTTTTGTGTAAACGCAGCATAAAAACTGAAAACGAAACAGCACTTTTCCGTTTTCTATGGAGACCGTTTCTTTCTAAAAGTGGCCTAAAATATTATGCCTGTGTAAACTTCTGTAATACTCCTGTGACCTTGAGGGAGAATTCTCTCTCCATACAAATAATCATTTTTCTATGAGTGACTGAATTCCCAAATTGCTTTATTTCCCTTCACAAACACACAAAGACAGTCTGACTAATGAACTTAGAGGAAAGAGAATGACAGTACTGAGTTCACAGCTGGTCAGTGCTTACTATTTTAAATAGATTTTAAATTCTCTTCCAAATGGTGTTGTTCAGCAACAATCCAGCCTCTGATGGGTAAACAGGAGGAAAAATGAAACTGCGCTGAGTTCTCTCGAGCAGCAGGGAAATGCTATGAAGTTTGTTTACTTGCACTCTGATGATTCCATTAATGTTAATTTACGGAGGAATCAAAGGGGGAAATGAAATATTTTGAAATCTCAGAGCTGAAAATATTAATCTGAACTGTGTTCCTATGAATAATTAATCAGGGGAGAGTTTAAGATCTGCTATTAATGAAGTCACAGGATAGAAATCCTACTCTACTCATCGGAGAGTCAACCAGAGCTCATCAAACCTGTTCTCCTGCCTGTGGCTTTGGGACATATTACCCAAATGCCATCGTTTAGTGCTTAATTAATTTATTCAAATTATGGTTGTGGTTTTTAAGCCCCATTTCAGGGTCTTACACTGACTTTTGTTGCAACATACAATGAAATCTAAAAAGTCAATGTCAAGTACAACTGGTTCCACAAAATAGCAACACCAGCTGGTCATAAACTGATGAAATTTCTGTCTTTTCCAGGTCCTTACGTCAACACTCACTTTACGGTTCAACCCAACCTAGGCAGTAGGATGTGGACGATCAATCGGTATGTCTGAGTTCTTACAATCTCTTGGGCCTTTCATCATCTCTAATACCTTGTTATCTGCTATAAGCCAAGAGCCAGCTGAAACCATCATTATATAATTACCATGGGATGAGTCACTCGCTGCTTTTCAGTCCTAGCCTTTGTTATTCATGCAGTTGCAAGTCAGCACAATCTAATGCCTCTAATCCATGAAAATCCTGCATTATAATTTTTAAATATGGAAGCATTGTTTTTATCTGGGTTACTTACTCCACCAAGAGTTGTATTATCTTTCTAGTGTTTTCTCCAAAGTTGTATGTTGAGCGTTTGTGAGGTTCACTTCATTCTTCTATTATTCATACTGTAATGGCAGTTTGACCCCATCGCTCTCTTGAACAGTCCACATCTGCTGTAATTGAAGTCATAAATGTTGTGCACACATAAATGCTTTCTTCTCAACAACTCTCCAACTGTTACACATGACATTGCAAAGTGGCCACCATTTCATTTTAGTATTACTTTCAGGATAATATCTAGTCTGAGGTTAAAATGAATAACATTAACTCCAGAATGTTGACTGCACTGTGATGTAGGATGCAGATTTTCTATAGATATGTGTGATTAATTTACTAAAACTATTTATCATTGTTCCAGCCACATTCAGAAAACGCACTTGTTGTGCTAGCCTGGCTTTCCATCTTGGTTGGATGCAGTAAAAAGCATTTCTTTGTTCATATTACACTCATGGTGATTCCCAGTCATGGTCATTTCCACTGCCTCAAGCAAAATCCACGATGTGAAGTTTTATACAGCTGTGTTGCTCTCTCTAATGTCATCAGTTTTCACCATGATGAGTTTGCAGTCTCGCTGACTGGGACCAGTTTAGGGAAGAAAAG